AGATAGATCCCATGATTATGTATACAAAGTCCAAGAACAGACAGTTTCTGTGCATGTAGGCACTTCAGATCTCCTGCCAGGTGAATACATTGCGGAATATTCAGGGCAAGGGCTACACATTCCCTTCATACAAAAACGCATATTCACTTAATTTTCCCCATAATTCACCTCCAGTGATGGACATACTTTTACAAATAAATTCATGTGCCAGTTATAGTAACATATAAATTTAGTGGCCCTTTAGACTGGTTTCTGCTGCTGGTGTGTGTGTGTGTTTGTGTGTGTGTGTGTGCGCGCATGCGCACACGCGCACGCGCGCGTGAGAGAGAGAGAGAGAGAAGCAACTTTGAAGACCAGCATAAAAATAAGAATCTTCTTTTCTTCATAATCAGGACCTAAAGGAGAAAGAGGAATTCCAGGAGGAAGAGGTGACCAAGGTAATAAAGGTCACATTTTGAATTTTGAGCATTGACCAAAGGTGGTATTCTTCTAGTACTGACCAGTTTGCCTGAACCGGTAGTGGAAATCATGGGTGGCCCTGCCCACCTGCCCCGGCTCTACGGCATCCCATTTAGGCCCTTTTTTAAGGCAAAGCACATGCAGGGAAGACAATGTGCATGCATGGACATGATACATGTTCACATTTGCGAACCAGTAGGGAAGGTAAGTAAATACCACCCCTGGCATCAAATGTAACAACTCTGATCCATTAATAAGCCACATGCCTATATACTTCATGTCCTTCTTACTTGACTATCTTCCTGAGTAGGATATGAATTCAGGAACAGTCGTATGTCTTAAACCTAACAAAATGACTTCCTAAGCTGAATTAATCATAGCCTGAGCTGTACCTTGAATTGTCATTGCAAATTGCAAATGTAGTTAGAAAGTCATATATAACCTTTATAAATTTATTAATAGTAATAGCACTTAGACTTATATACTGCTTCACAGTGCTTTACAGCTCTCTCTAAGCAGTTTACAGAGTCAGCATATGGCCCCCAACAATCTGGGTCCTCATTTTACCGACCTTGAAAGGATGGAAAGCTGAGTCAACCTTGAGCCTGATCAGAATCGAACTCCCAGGCTGTGAGCAGAGTTTGGCTGCAATACTGCATTCTAACCACTGTGCCACCAGGGCTCCTTAAAATAATGAATGGCTGTTTCATTGCTGAAGTGCAGACAATGTGAAATGAAATGGTCATTAAAATAGGCAGCCAATATGTAATTTTTATGAAACTGGCAGTTTGAAGTGTTGAATTTGAATCATTTATGGCAAGTACATTATATAAAATCTGCTATAAACCCACAACTGCGGTATCTTTCAGGAGATAAAGGTGAAAAAGGAGACATTGGAATCAAAGGGAACCCAGGAACAAATGGTAAGCAAATAAAACCACAATCCACCTCTTCAAGCAGAGGGCTGATATTACTGAATTTTGGATTTTTTAAAAACTGAGTGAGTCCTTCCTTTTTTCCCCTCAGGGATCGGACTTTCTGGACCCAAAGGAGAACCTGGTAATTCCTCAGCTGCAGCCTGAGCCTCTATACTGTGAAGACAAGAGGGGTGTTATCCAGTCCATTTGAAACGTTTAATTTCTTTTGGCTGTTTCTGGGCTTCACCTTGAAGGGCATCATTCGAGATCTGTGATGGCAAACCTATGGCACACGTTATTTACCGGAGGTGGCACACAGAGCCCTCTCTGCTGGCATGCGCACCTTCGCCCCAGGTCAGATCTCCGTGGTGTTTCTTTCGTGAGCTTCTGTTTCATCGTTTGCAGCTCACGAAAGAAAAAGATCTTACCTCTTGCTGCTCTGCCTGTGTTGGGATGCCCTGCCTCCTGCCGGCCAGCTGGTCTTCGGGTCTCTGTTGAACATGTACGTGTGCACATGTCCATGCATGCATATGCATGCAAGTCCATGCGTGCATGCATGAGCACATGTTTGCGTATGTGCAGCTTTCAGTTTGGGCATGTGCGTGCACACAGTTTGGGCACTCGATGTCTAAAAGGTTCACCATCACTGCTCTAGATCATGGTGCTCAGGCCAAATACTCAAGTACTCAAGCATCTTTGCTACTTTTTACAGGAAGATGTCTCAAGAGCGACTCGAGAAGAATATTAAACTACAAAACAGGCATTGGGAGTGGGGAATAAATTGATTCTCTGGAGTGGGGGGGAAGAGATTAATTTTCATTAGAACCAGTTATTGCCTTATGTAGATTCCTGCATGCCAAGATATGGGGTACTGTACATTACAGCAAGTTCTCTATACCTATGGAATATTTATAGCCTTGTAGAATACTAGTATGTTGTAGTATATTCTGCCATGAATTTATTCTAAGATCAAAGGAAGGTGGAGGAGCCCGTTCCTTGGATCCTGAAATGATAAGGAAAGATTCTTTTGTCTATTTTCTCTGTAGTCAAAAATTGTGTTATTCTCCATGGATGAATTTGAAGTGAGACCTCTGTTAAGCATAATACATCATTTCTAAACCAGAATTCAAAATCTCTCTTAAACCTTTTTCCATCTGTGCTTTATCTCAGATCACAAAACTGAGATGGCTTTAAGTTGAGGACTATATATATATATAGTAAAAATATTGGGTTTCTGTCGTGATGGACTCTTGTGACGAGCCAATTGACAAATGATGGAAGCAGTTAGCTTCTTCCCATAATT